GATCTTCTTTGAATTTTAACTCAGGTAGGCCTTATACTGCCTTGAACTTTAGTATCTTTGAAATGTTTCTGGAGTGAACATGTTCCAACCTCTTGTGCCACAGAATTGCTTCATCCATAGTAGATAAATTGCACTGAGTTGGTTGAGTATCTTCAGTGATTGTGTACATATTTCTAGAGGACATATTTGTAGAGAAAAGGACTTTATCTTAGGTAAGATCAACCACATTTCACTTGTTTTTGTTAAAGCACACCTTCTTGCCTGTATCACACAATTGACTAACACTTAGCAGACTGTGTTTGAGTCCCTCAACATATAACACTTCATTGATCTCTGGTAGGTCTTCAGACTTGCACACAGTTCCAATACCAACAATTTTAGCCTTTTGATTGATCTAAATACCACATTGCCACCATCAAATTTCTTCAAGGATAGGAACTTAGAACTATCACCTGTCATGTGTCTAGAGCATTCACTATCACATACCATCTGTCATTGGTGTTACAAGCTTTAAAAGTTGTGTAAACTAACATACTAACTAAGTTTAACTTCTTGGGAATCCACATCATCTTTGTCTTGACAAAGGATATTCTTTCTTTAGCTTTCTGAGCTTGTAAGAGTTCTGACTTCTTCATATACACTACAGTCAGTTTGATATTTTTCATGGTTGCAGTGACAAGGTCACACTTGTTAAGCTTTAGTGTAGGATAGGTCTTGTCAAGGAACTAATGTTTTGACCTAGTAGCCTTTACAATGGGAAACTTAGCATACACTTCACCAGTGAAGGACTTAACAAATACTGAGTGAGTTTGTTTAGCCTTAGCTGCACTGTCACATGAGTAACCAATGCCTATTTTTCCAATTTACTTTGTAGAGTTCTTCCAAATCTCAGTCATCATCGGTGATATCTCTTCCAGAGCCTGTAACAGTTATTCCTTACATCTTTTGGTAGTCCACGCATTCTGGTTAGATTGAAACTTCAATACACATGACACAATAGGGAGATGGAGCACAGAGTTGACAACTTCAACTTTATCTTTTTGATGAGTAAACCCTTGGACTTGTGTAAGTCTGAGCTGAGTCTTTTGATTTGGACCTTTTATAGATCACACTTCACAGCCAATCTCTCACACTCTTCAAGGATTTCTTCCACTTTAGTGTCACTATCCTTATCTTCAATCTTTGAGTTAGGGTTTTTAAGTAGTGCGATGAATAAGCACTCATCTCCTTGGCTTTCATCTGGTTTCTCTTCTTTAGGGCTTGCATCCCAATCTGAAACAAGAGCTTTCCTTCCAAATCTACCTCTGTTGTTGAAGTTCTCCGTATTCTTCTGCGGTTGATCTTTTGAATTAGTACAATTAGCCACATAATGGCTTGACTTGCTACAACCATAACATGTTTGCTGTGAATGAGAATTCTTTTTGAACCTGAACTTTTTGGCAAGGTAAGCAACTTCATCTTCTTCCAGATCATCATCTTCAGACTCAGGTTCAGCATCCTCAACCACTTCTTGGCCTTAAGAGTTGCTTCTCTGTGTTGTGTAGGTGCATCAATTCTCATCTCATATGTTGTAAGTGAAGCTTGAAGATTATCAATTTTTATTTGAGAGAGGTCTTTGTCTTCAAGAATAGTGACCTTAGCATTGAACCTTGAAGTTAAGGTCCTTAAGATCTTCTTACACACTTCAGAGTCTTTTACCTTTTCACCAAGAGCTTTCATGTTGTTTACAATTTCATTGATCATGAATAAGTACTTTGAAACAGCTTCCCTTTCATCCATCTTGTAGCCTTCATATTGGACCTTGAGAAGTTGTATCTTGCTCTCCTTGATAACATTATTCCCTTCATGAGCAGCTTTGAGAGAATCCCACATTTCTTTACCTGTCTTGCAATTCTTGATCCTTGTGAACTATTGTTGCTTGAGAGCACAGAAGAGATCTGAAGCGAAAATAGACAAGAAAGATGAGAGAATAAATGATTCTATCTCAAAATCAGAGGTATTACATGAGTATATATAGACAAAGTGTACAACTTAAAAAAGCTAAAAAAAGAAATAATAAAATAGTTAATTACAGCTGTATAAATCTGACAGCTCACGTGCAGATTTGTTTGTACAAATCTTCCAAATCATATTGCATGATTTGTGAAATCAGATCTGAGTAGATTTGATCTGCCAACACACCCCCTCAAGCTGGTATGTAGATGTCACGCATTCCTAGCTTGGAAACTAGAGAACTTCTTCTAGTTGTTGTGTAGTCATTACGAATGGTGTAGAAATTTGTCCACTCTCAATTTCTCTTTAATGAAGTGTCGGTCCACCTCTACATGTTTGGTGCGATCGTGTTGGACGGGATTGTGTGCAATATTGATTGTGGCCTTGTTATCACAGTAGACTTTCATTGGCCCTTTAGGTTCCAGTTTGAGTTCTTTGAGGAGCCCTTTGATCCATAGAACTTCACATATCCCTTGAGCCATTTGCTCGGAATTCTGCCTCAGCACTCGACCTAGCTACGACAGTTTGTTTCTTACTTCTCCAAGTAACTAGGTTACCTTCTACAAAGGTGCAATACCCAGATGTTGATCTTCTGTCTTTCAGAGATCCAGCCCAATCTGCATCAGTGAAGGCTTCAATTTCTAGATTACCATTTTTAGAGAACATAAGCCCTTTTCCTGGTGAAGACTTCATATATCTCAAGATTCGTTGTACAGCTGCTATATGATTTTCCATAGGAGAATGCATAAATTGGCTTACCACGCATACTGCATAAGCTATGTCTGGCTTAATATGAGATAAATATATCAATTTACCAACTAGCCGCTTATACCTCCCTTTTTCCATAAGGTTTCCTCCACTATCTGCTCCAATTTTGTGATTATGATCAATTGGGGTATCAATAGGTTTGCAGCCCGTCATCCCAGTTTGCTTTAGCAAGTCTAGGATGTACTTCCTTTGAGTTAACAAAATTCTGTCGGTGGTTCGGGGTACCTCAATGCCTAAGAAGTACCTTAGACTCCCCAAATCTTTTGTTTCAAATTTCTTTGTTAGGCGTTCCTTCTGGCTTTTGATTTCTTCCACATCATTACTTGTGACAATGATGTCATCAACATAGACGATGAGTACCGTGATCTTCATTTGTGGAGAGTTCTTAAAGAATAAGATATGATATCCCTGACTTTGTAAATAACCGCCACCTTTCAAGAATCTTGTAAACCTCTCGAACCATGCCCTAGGAGATTGCTTAAGACCATACAGGGATTTTCTTAACTTACAAACTCTCCTATTTTTCGATCTTTCTTCAAAATCTGGTGGGAGATCCATATACACTTCCTCTTCCAACTTACCATGCAAAAAAACATTTTTGGCATCAAATTGGTGTAAGGGCCAATCTCGATTGACAGCAACAGACAACAGAACTCTGATGGAATTCATCTTTGCTACAGGGGCAAAGGTCTCTTGGTAATCAATTCCAAAAGTTTGAGTGTACCCCTTAGCTACGAGTTTAGTCTTGTATCTTTCAATTTATCCATCAGCCTTATATTTTATAGTGAACACCCACTTGCAGCCCACTGTTTTCTTTCTTGGTAATTGAACAATCTCCCAAGAACACGATTTTGGATGCGTTTGTTGTTCTCTCTCTTCAGAGAATTTGTTGAATTTGTGAAAGAACGGCACGACTTTGGATGTGATTGTTGTTCTTCGCCTTCAGAAGATTTGTTGTTGAATTTGAGGAAGAATAGCACAACTTTGGATTGGATGTCTGAATTTCTGCACTCTCTGAATTTCTGAATTTGTAGAATTCTCAATTTCTGTCCCCTTCCTCCTTCCTCCATGCCTCTATTTATAGGCTTCTAGGATTAATAGGATGATGACATGTGTCTTTTCTTGGTAAGGACATAATTATAACTGGCTGGGCAGTTATATTGTGATAATTATCCATAAAAATAATTATTCCAAATATATTTTATTAAGAATAATTATCTTTTTTATTTAATCACTTGAGCTGGGCTAATTAAATCATTTAATTTGACTAAGTTTGGGCCAATTAAATAATTTAATTGAACATGAGACCCAAATTTGATGGGTCAATTTGTCAAAACAAAAGTCCATGAAATTTTAGTGTCTACAGATGCCGTTGGTCTTTTGTAGTTACTTTATCGCCAAGAGATCATGAGTGGAGATTCTGAGGTTGTGGGTCCTAGCTTCTCATGGCCACTTTAATGTTCGGTCCTTCTATAGATGTTTCATGGAGGGACTCGGGGTTCCATTCTCGTGGAAGGCTATTTGGCCCTCCAAAGCCTCCTTAAAGGTGGCTTTCTTTGCTTGGACATCTGTTTTGGGGAAGATTTTGACTCGGGATAATTTGAGAAAAAGGAATCAGGTTGTGGTCAATTGTTGCTACATGTGTCATAGAGATGAGGAGATGGTGGATCACCTTCTCTTGCATTGCACCATGGCTAGGGAGTGTCGGGATTTGATGCTTGGTTTGTTTGATATTCAGTGGGTTATGCCAAGGTCCTCTAGAGGGTTGATTGAGGCTTGGAGAGGTTGCATAGTGGGGGCCCAAGTCTAGGATGTTTGGAGGGTTATGCCATTGTGTGTCTGGTGGTGTCTTTGGCTCGAAAGAAACAAGAGATCCTTTGAAGGAAAGGAGACTCCTATCTCCAGGCTTAAATTCTCTATTATTATTACTATTTTTTGTTGGGTTATAGGGAGAAATTATAGATATTTAGAGATTGTAGAATTTTTGGACTCCTTGAAAGTTTAGAGGCCTTTTTGGCCTTGTGTAAATCCCTTGGGATACTCTCCCCTTTTGAGCACTTTTTATACATTTTACTTATCAAAAAAAAAAAAAAAAAAAAAAAATCAGTAATATTCTATTTCACGGGCATAGTAATTAGTGCGGGGTTTTAATTTTAATTTTCTTGTTTTAACCATTTTAAGCTGGAATGTTGTCTAAAATATAACTCAAGATTCTTTAAATGTTATTTCTTGATACCTAGGATAAGGCCATTGAGATTGTTGAAGGTTTATCTGAAAACCATTGGACTTCTTCGTGCATCATTACAATGAGGAAGTTCCAATACATCTGCGGAGGATCGGAGGAGGCATCTGCAATCTTGAGTTACTTGTCAGGTTGTGGGAAAGCGCAGTACCTTGCAATCAATAGGAAGGAATTCATAGAGGTATTTTATGTTCTCATTTTCTTTCTTTTTATTATTATTATTTTTTATGCCAAGTATGATTCTCAGAGAAATTAATGATTTTTCATTAAGTGCAACTTTAAACTTGTAGCTGAATGGCACCTTGCTCAAGTAGATTACTCAGGCATGATAAACAAAAATAATGGGATGGACACGTAGGTGTTGAAGGTGCGCCTAGGCTCGACAAGGCTCAGCTAGAGCTCCTCAATCTAGTATGGGCCAAGCCCCTTCAATCAAGTCACATAAAGCCCTCAAGCTCGCACTTTTTAGTGAGCTCCAGGATAAGAAAGTTGGGCTTTTTTTAAATATCATTTATTCATATCATTTTTGACTACTAAATTAAAATGTTCTATATCATAGTGGTCATATTTAATGGATCAGATTGTTTAACTGTCTGAAATATTTGACAAAACTAGTAAAAAAGAACATGCAATGCACGTGAGTAAAAAATCTTTAATGAATAGATTAAGTATAAAATAAAAATAATAATAGTTAAATTATTAATGCTAGACTTTGATAAGCATTTATATTGATGTATTTACTTAGGAATAATTTAACATGTAATAAATAGTCAAAGGAAAAAAAAATAAATATAAATCAAGATAAATTTTTATTAATCTAAAAACTATAAACTAATTAGTAGGAGGGAGATTTTTTAATTTAATTTAATTTTTATATATTTTGCATATGGGTTGTCCTTTAATTTTTATATGGGCTAAAAACATAAAATCCCCCTGTTGTTTACAAAAACTACTAACCCCCTCAACTACATAAACTATCATATTACCCCTTCATGTTTTTAAACATATATCATATCACCCCCTCCTCGTTAGTTGACCTTCTAAAATTAACGGATCTTATCACGTGACCATCACGTGCACCATATATCACATTATAATGACTAAAATACCCTTATTCTATTTCGTCCTTCTCTATAGTCTCCTCTCTTTCTCTCTCTATCTATCTTTTTCTCTCACACACAAACACACCCAAACACAAAGACCTTATTACAACAGGGAGCTCTAATCTTGCATCTTCTTCTGTAATGCTTGCATCTATCAACAACCCATTAATCAGAATATTAGAACTCATGTTTTACATCAAACAAAACACAACCCACCAATCAAGAGTTGAAGAATTATACATTATGCATATATCGCTTAGTTTTGATCTTCTCTCTCTACTTTAACCCCCAAAAACATATCCAAAACCCTAAAATTTGAACCTTATTTTTATTCTCCTTTCCCAACTTTCTACTCTGGCTCTACTGTATCGGATTTTCCTATTTACCACTGTCGTCCACTTGCCGTCACCCCTCTCCGGGCCGGCCGCCGGCCGAGAGGAACGTTGGCGGTGATGAAGTCAGTAAAGTTGACGACTTCGCCCCACCAACATCAACATGACAATGACAACTATATCAGCTGATTGCGAAGCCGCTGGTGGAGGCAGAGCTGTACTGGCAATGTCGTCATGGCGGTGGTGGCATTGCTCATTGCCACTGCCGCATGGCTGTCGCTCGTCTTCTCCGGGACCACCACACCTCGTTGGCACCGCTTCACGCGCTGGGAAGGAAGCCCTAATGGAGCCGATGGAGATGGGCAGGAAGAAGGCCTAATTCAGCGTTCATTGTTTAGACAAACGTTCCACGACGTAGGAATTTTTAATTCCCTTTTTAATCACAGGTTGTAAATTTTATACATCGTTTTTATATTTAAGAATTGATGAAATAATATACACAAGTATATACGCATTCAGTGGCCCCCCACACGTGTGAAGGACAAGTAATTATAATCATGATACATTTTTAACCCCTGTCCCAACTGAAAATTAATTAGAAAGACCATAGTTAGGAACGGAATAGAAAATTGTGTGAGGGGTGATACTATAATTTTTTAATAATTTCAGTAGGGGCGGTAGTGTATTTTTGTAAATATATATATATATATATATATATAATGTTGTATATTACTAAAAAAAAATATTTCTATATGTTGAGAATTCTTTCTTTTTTTCTCAATACATAGTAGAGACATAGATTTATCCGTGTATAGTTGGCACCCTAATCTTAGGGTGTAAATGCTAGCTGATTGTTTTTCCTATTTAATATTGATTTGATTCTTTCCGTGTGTTGACTTTCCTAGTTTAATTCCTATTTATTTGTTGCTTGTTTTATTCCATCAATTTAGGAAATTGAGTAGCTGGTCTGTAGCCTCCAAATTTTCCTATTTATGTATTGTTTCTGTACAATTTCTAAATATGCAATAAGAGAATTTCTTCTTCTCTTTCTCTCAGAGTATTCACTTATCATCATTATGGTATCAGAGCAGAAATAAAGCTCTTGCTTGGCATCATCTCTCCAACCCTTCCTAAGCTTCATTTTTTTTTTTCTTCCTTATCTTTGGCCAGTTTCACACCTGTTCCCTCTTGCTTTGTTCAAAACAGAGTACACTCGGCAAAACAGAGTACAGTCGGCAGGAAAGATTAGCCCAGAAATCGCCAAGAAGAGAAAAAAAAAAAAAAAGAGGATGGTAAAACATGGCTTGGCAACCGATAGTCATAGTAATACCTCGGATATGACATCTACTCAAGAAAAAACCATCCTCAGCCATGTCGGAGGATCCGAAGGCTCAGTCTTACCAATTACCGAACACAAACTGAACGAAAACAATTTCCCTCAATGGTCTCAATCCGTCATGATGTACGTTTGTGGCAAAGGAAAGGACGACTATCTCACCGGAGAGATTCCTGCTCCAGCGAAAGAAGATCCAAAATTCAAAACTTGGAAAGCTGAGAACATGATGGTTATGTCATAGTTGGTTAATTCCATGACTACAGAGGTGGGAGAAAACTTCATGTTCTATGCAACAACAAAGGAGATGTGGGATGCAGCAAGAGAGACTTATTCCGATAATGAAAATACATCAGAACTAATTGCAATTAAGGGTATCCTTCATGATCTACGACAAGGTGAGATGTCTGTTACCCAATATTTCAATATACTCACTCATCATTGGCAGCAACTAGATATGTTCGAGACCTCTGTATGGGATACTCCCGGAGATGCAGAAAAATATAGAAAGATTGTCGAGAAAGAACGAATCTATAAGTTTCTGTTGGGTCTTAATAAAGACCTTGATGAAGTAAGGGGAAGAGTCCTAGGTATTAAACCTCGACCAAGCATCCGTGAAGTATTCTCAGAAGTTCGACGTGAGGAAAGCAGAAAAAAGGTGATGATGGGTAACCAAAATCAATCTGCTCCAACAGAAGGATCAGCATTGGTTACCCAAAACTCCAGTCCCTCAAACTATGACAACTGTCCTCGGAAAGGTAGACCATGGTGTGACCATTGCCGCAAATCAGGTCGTACCCGAGAAACATGCTGGAAAATACATGGAAAACCACCAAACTGGAAGCCAAGATCAGAAAGAGAACCATGAGGATATCAAACTGCAGCCGACGGTCAGCCACCGATCCCTGTTCCAGACAGCCATAGCTCCGGTGCCTTATCTCTTAACGAGGACCAAATGGAGCAGCTGATCAAACTCCTTAACCAGTCTAGCACAATTCCAGCAATCCTTCGTCTTTCTTAGCCCAAAAAGGTAGTTTTAAAATTGCTTTAAGTGTCAGCAAAAAGGAACCCTGGATCATTGATTCAGGAGCCACCGATCGCATGACAGGTTGTGCAAATTTTTTCTCTTCATATAATCCATGTCCTTGAAATCCAAAAATAAAAATTGCAGATGGTTCATTATCTTCCGTTGCAGGAAAAGGCTCAATTCCAATTTCAAAGAGTCTAACCCTCAAATCTGTTCTTCATGTTCCTAATCTTTCATGTAATCTTTTGTCTATTAGCAAACTGACTAAGGATCTAGACTGTATTACTAAATTCTCTAATTCCTTGTGTGAATTTCAGGAACCGTCTTCGGGGAGGACGATTGGCAGTGCTAGGGAATATGAAGGGCTCTATTACTTTGATGAGGACATAGTCGAGAGTGGACAAGCTCAAAAAACAAGCTGTGAGAGTGAAGTTCTTTCTTTATCTGGAGAAAAAGAAATAATGTTGTGGCATCGTAGACTTGGCCACCTTTGTTTTTCCTATTAAAAAAACCTATTTCCTTCATTATTCAAGAATAAACATCCAGCCTTATTTCAATGTGAAATATGTCAACTTGCTAAACATCATCGTACTTTTTTTCCATCTCAACCATACAAATCATCAAAACCTTTTTCCATCATTCATAGTGATATTTGGGGGCCTTCTAAAGTAACAACTTTTACTGGTAAAAAATGGTTTGCAACCTTCATTGATGATCACACCAGAATTTGTTGGGTCTTTCTCTTAAAAGAAAAATCTGAAACTGCGCATATTTTCAAAGAATTTCACTCTATGATCCAAAATCAGTTTCAAACAAAAATTCAAATATTAAGAACTGATAATGGTCGTGAATATTTTAACTCTGTTCTCAGTGAGTTTCTTAACAAACATAGCATTATTCATCAAAGCTCATGTGTGGATACCCCCCAACAAAATGGCCTCTCTGAAAGAAAAAACCGCCATCTCCTAAAAGTGGCTCGGTCTATCATGTTCACCTCAAATATAAAAAAAAACTTTTTGGGGAGAAGCAATTCTCACTGCCTCTTATCTCATAAACCGTATGCCCACTAGAGTCCTAAATTATCAGACTCCCCTCAACTCCTTGATTGAAGCCTATCCTCATATACGTTTCATTAGCAAATTACCTCTCAAAGTGTTTGGTTGTACTGCTTTCGTCCATATACATAGCCATAACCGTGGCAAGCTTGATCCAAGAGCCATAAAATGTGTGTTTGTGGGATACTCTCCTACTCAAAAGGGGTACCGATGTTATTTTCTAGAAAAAAAGGAAATTTCTCACCTCCATGGATGTCACCTTTTTTGAGAACCAGTCATTTTTTTCAAAAACTGATCTTCAGGGGGAGCAACATATTTCGGAAAATCAGTT